TTGATTCGAATCAAATGAAGTAGAGGTGGCCCATATTTGTCTATTTTGAATCAAGTGTAAAGTTTGTTTAGAATCACAAAGCTGCCTGATTTGAATCAAGTTAAAAGTGTGATTCGAATCAGAGTGTTTGAAAATCTTTATTTTTTCTCTGTTCAATTTGATTCGAGTCAAGGAATGTTCATGACTCGAACAAGTACACAAAATCTCAAATTTTCATGGTTTTCAAAATACTTTGAGATTTTTCTTTGCACCTAACTTGAACCAATAACACACATGGTTCTTATTCTACTGACTCATGCAATTGACTAAAAGAATCATGATTTAGTTTAAATATAACCATTGATTTATGCATGCTAAAATATGAATCGACTCAAAAATTGATTCAAAGATGTAAAATTATGAAGACTCGATAAACAAAAATAAATGAAAATGAAAGCGATAAGACAAATAACAAAACCACCATATTAAGGTTCATCCCCTGAATTTGTTAGGAACATGTAACTTTGGTCTCTCTAGGGATATGAAACTTGAATTTTAGAATTTTACTTAGAATTTAATATACAAGTTTAACACCCACCCTCAAACTATGTATGGTAGATGTCTAGCATGTTAAACTTAGATATGAAAATATAACAGGTCTTGGGTGGCAAAGGTTTTGTAAGGAAATCAACAATTTGGGCCTTTGTATGAATATGAAATAGCTTAAACATTTCCTTTTGGATTCTTTATCAAACAAGTGGTAGTCAATTTCAAGATTTTTGTTTCTTCATGGAAGACGAGATTGACAAGAATATGTATAACACTTTGATTGTCACGATATAGCGTTGGACGTTTGGTGCAATTGACTTCAAGTTCTACAAGCAATGAAATAAGTCATTGAATTTCACAAGATGCAAAATAAAGTACTATATACTCTACATCATAAGAACTTATGGACATTTTATGCTAATTCTTGGCTCTCCATGAAAACAAAGAAGAACCAAGGAATAAATAATAACCATCAGTAGATCTTCTAGTGTCAATGCAACCTTCCTTTTTTGCATAAAAAAATCCATGTAATTAAATTTATGCATCTCTCTTAATCAATAAAAGCCTTAACTTGGTGAACCTTTGAGGTACTTTATGACTCAACATGAAGTCTCATAATAAGTAATAATGGGTGAAGTAATGAATTAGCTAAGTTGTTGTGTTAGAAATGCGATATCAAGACTTATAGTGGTTAGATAAAGGAGTTTTCCTACAAGACTTATAAATGGTTAGATAATAAGTAATATTTGATGATTCTGGGTGCAACTTGTTGAGGGATCAAGTGGTGTTTTTGAAGTTTTAGCTCCATGTAATCATGCATCATGTAGTAAGTCATGACAATGTTTTCTTTGACATATGGTTATGCCAAATTTAGAATAAGCTACCTAAATTCCAAGAAAATACTTCAGCAGGACAAGGTCATTGATTTTCAATTGGTTGTCCAAAATTTTCTTAATCTTATCAAACTTAAAAATAGAATTTACTGCTTAATTCACATCAACTACACATATCAAAAGAATTTTGAAAGAAGAATCCTCGTGAAAAGTTAAAAAGAATGATCATACGAGTATTTTTTTATAGCCTTAATCAAGTAAGACTCTTGTTAACTTCTCATACCACTTTCTGCTTGCTTGTTGGAGACCATAAATAGACTTGAGTGTCTTGAAGACTTGGTTCGATTTAGGAATCTTAACATGTTAAGGAACATTCATATATACCTTTTCTTGCAAATCACCATCCAAGAATTCATTATTTACATCTAAATGACATGAATGCTAACATTTGATTTTGCTAATGCAAAGAAGGACTCTTACAATTATAATCTTGGCCACACATGAGAATGTTTAAAAAACCAATATCTTTCACTTAATTGTATCCCTTTATAACCAGAATTCCTTTAGGAGTTCAATTATACCATCTATCTTGTGTTTTACTTTTATAAATTCACTTGCTTCCTATATATTTGATACGAGTTGGAGTGTCCACAAATATCCAAGTTTTGCTCTGTTATAAGGCGTGTGACTCGTAATTCATAGATTCAACCCAACATTCTTGAGTACTATCTTGATTATAATTGGCATGCTCATCATTAGTATTGAGGGACCTATCAAAAGTGTTATGTGCATTTGAAATATTAGCATATGAATGATAATAAGAGATGGGATAGAGAACGTCTGAAGAATTTCATGTGAGTCAATCTAATTAGAGATTGAATATGGTCAGATAAGTGGTTAGGTTTATGTTTAGTTTTGGTTAAATTTTTGGTGTTTTGGTTAAAATCATCGATATGATCATTATCATTTGGATGATCAAGTTCAAAGTAGGTGATAATATCATGACTGGTAGGAATTAGATGAGTAGAATGATAATTCCATTAATAAGGTGGATTTTGATTGTGATAAGGCAAAACATGTTCATCATAAGTTACATATCTAAAAATAATAATATTTCTTGTCGTTTAGGTCAAGTAAAACAACTCCCTTGACACCTTTCTTGTGGCCTAAGTAAACAAATTTTCAAGCTATTACATCAAATTTTGTAATGTAAATTTGAATGGTAGAAGCATAACATAAGCATCCGAATATTTTGAGGTAATCGAGGTTAGGATGGTTACCAAATCTATGAAAATAGGGTGACTTGTTTTGCAAGATTGGACTTAGAATTTGGTTAATGATGTAAATGGCTTATAAGACTGCATAAGACCAACCTTGTTTGGGCGATTTTGATTGAAAAAACAACCATCTTCCAACATTTAGGATATGTTGACGTTTTCTTTCAACATAACCATTTTGTAGGGGAGTCTCAACACAACTAGTTTGATGTTCCATTCCTTTTGAAGCATAGAAATGAAGAATCAAAAACTCAGATTCATTATTACTTCTCATAATATTGACATAACAGAGGTACCGTGTTTCGATCAATGTTAAGAATCATTAACTTAATTTCAAGTTCAATCTTGCAAAACAAGTCACCTTATTTTCATAGATTTGATGATCACCTTGACCTCAAAATATTTGGATGCCTATGCTATGCATCTACCATTCAAAATCACATAACAAAATTAGATGAAAGAGCTATAAAATCTATTTACATAACTACACTGCGAACCATGATGAACGACGTGCAACAAACCTCAAAAAGGACTCTAATATCATCACAGAGTTCTTCATCTAGAGGAATAACTATAATAGAAATTAGAAGAAAATAGAAAAGCTAACAAACTCAACCGATTGAAACTAAATTAATTGTTTTTTATTGGTTAGTTACAAGATGTTATTTATAATATGAAAGCATACTAACTATTTGTAACTACCAATGCTTATTTTATGTTGGAATTAACTTAATAGTGTGGGAACGTTTTCTATTATCTTCTCTTATTGTTTTGTTGTTTTAATGTGTAATATATTTTCAAGAAAAATAATTCATAATTTCACGAGTATCAAGATACGAGCCAATTAAATTCATCTTGAAAGCACTAGAAATCGAGCACATGGTTTTGTAGTATTATTGCATCCTACGGAGTATCGTTGTCCTCTACGGAGCAACTTTGACAAGTTGCTCATCTCGTACGCAAGAAAACAAAAAACATTAGAATATAAAATGCTAACAAGCTTAACATAAATGGAAAACTTGGAAATTTGTCACAAAACCACATATGTGGACTTATAAACACACTTCCTCTTCACTCTAAGTCACTCGATTATCATTCAACAGTCATCAGCAATTAACATAAGAGAATTTGAATGCAGTTACAATAGTCTCACATATATAAGTGTCGCTGAATCACACTCATTTACGATTCATTATACATTTGCAAAACTCCACCTCAATATCTTACCGACTTAAACATTAGTGTTATTTTTTTAGAGGCATCTTCTCTGATCGTTAGAGCATTGTCTCAACCGCATCAGAAACATTTCATAAGAATCATCATCACCAAATTAACTATCTTTTACTTCAATTCACGACTAATAGCATGAAAATCTCTCACCTAAAATAAATTGATGGTAGATAAGATTTTGAAAGTAGACTTTAGCAAAAGAAAGAGAAAAATGAAAAGATTTTTGTTCCAAATTTAGGAAACCATATTACCATTCCTCAAGTACCATGTTAATTGTCCTTGTTTTCATCATTCACAAGAGATGATGGTACCACAAACCATGTACAGTGGCTGACAAACTCCACACAACCGCCCATCACCAACCCAAATAATACACTTTTACTCTTAATAAATTTGTGATAAACCAATTCAAACCTATAACATAGATGAGACAAATTGAAAATGTGAGTCTTTTTCCCAAAAAGATAATAAGTACTATTCTCTAAGACGAAGAGAAAAAACCTTTGATGTGGATCCCGCATCAATTAATTTTTCTCTTTCCCACCATACAAGAGAAGATAATACATTCCCTTCATTAATTTTCTCTCAGAAAAACAAAGGGTAAGGGATATCAGTAGTTTAAATGATAACTATGGTTTTAAATTGCGGTCCGCGGCCGCAATTTTGCTGATGTGGTAGTTACCGCATCTGCATAGGACTGCAATCGTGGTGTGATTTGAAATCACACATTCAACTACATTAAAACTCACATCAAACAATTTCCCCCATGTTTTTTACATATTTTCATCATAATTCAAAGTTTGAAACCCAAAAACTCATTTTACATCTCATTTATAATGCAAAAGATTAACATCTTTCTATAGTATATTTCAAAATATCTTTCAATAAAAATTCAAACCGCAATGACCTCAATCCACATCGCAGCTACCGCAATGAATGGCCGTAATCGCAACACACGCAATCGCAATTTAAAACCATGACGATAACACAACAAATTGATAATCTCATTCCCAAATACATCAACAAAAATCCACCAACAACATTAATTATCTTGTCTTCTGCAAATTATTATTTTTCTTTATTCCCATAGAAATGTTCTATCACAAAAACATTTGCAGATAACTTTTTGAAATTAAGCAAGTTTCTTTTGCTGCTTGGCCTTCCATTCTTTTATATTAGCATCTATCCTTGCCTTCACCTTTGTCTCAAATCCAGGATATGGTTCATATCCAATCGTTGTTTGAAGAATCTACAAAAACAAATTTATCAGTAACTATGAAACATACCCAACAAAAGTACTATGACAAACAAAAAAACTACCTCAAGAATCACAAAGAAAGGAGCCATTACAAAAGCTTGAGAAAGGTTGTCCAAAAAGGCCGGTGCACGTTTCTGAACAAAAACAATCAAACATAAATGAATCGTGAAAAACACACACATCATACACATCATGTTTTTCAGTGATGGAGCAGTATTTACCTCAAACACAAGATGTCCAAAAATCTGTCCTGACCAACAAAACAACTGAGCACCCAACACAACCTAAAACATCATAGTAATTCTCAAAAAAAAAAAAACATTTTTGTTACATAGTCAAATTAGTTTCAGATCAATGAATAAATTTACCTTCCACGCAAGTTCGAAGCCGATTAAATTAGCGACGAAACTCGATGCAGCCCAACAAAGTAAAGTAAGAACAGCAACAAACGAACCGGCTTTAACATCCAAAGCAACGTAGAAGAGAGCATAGAAGACAGCAAAGAAGAAACCGAAGTTGAAAATCAAGACAGAGGGAAGAAAGTTAAGGAGTGTTTGGGAAGGAGATAAAATAGGAGGAGTAAAGTAGAGGAAAAGAAGAGCGGTGAAGACGATAGGCCAAACAAGGAATACGTGAATTATGATGTTAATAGGGTTGCTGTGATATGAACCATAGAAGGCGAAGTGCTTTTCCAGATCTAACAGACTCATTATTTTTCTTGTTTTTTCTGGTCACACAAGAATGGCTTTTCGAGAAAACGTGATTATATGGATTGATTCGAAACGATATAGATGAAGGATAGAAAACGTGATTATCGAGAAAACGTATTTCAAAAAAAGGCACAAAAATTAAAATTTTTAATATGCGTTAAATGTTAACTTTTTTTCTTATAAACCGTTATAGATGAAGTATATAATATATTTCTCCAAAATTGAATGAAAGTCCGAAAATATCTCTGCCACAATATTTCGTAGCAAATTCCGTATGTATTCGTAATAAAAAGTTATGAGGAACAAGTGGATACTAGAAGTGTTTTCGTCAAACAAAGGTCTTCAAGCTGGTCGGTGGTAGATATTGGTGATTTAAACTCTTAATCTTATAATTAAGGATATGTGCTCAGGGACCGATTCTGAAATTTTAATTAATAGGGTTAAAATTAATTGTTTTAATACAATTTACTTGTGTTTTTTTATAAAAAAAATAATAAAAGAAAATTAATAGTCAGATTTATGGTTTTTAAAATTCAAATCAAATGAGTAGTATAGGGACAATGATACGTTTAATGTGGGGTCAATATTTCAAAATTAATTATTATTAGTTTAAAAAAAAAAATTAAGTGGGGTGACTTGACCCTATTCCACTATAAGTGGATCCGTCCGTGCTTATCATCGATTCAACATGGTCATTATAAAGAAAGAGAGTTGAGTGGAAGTTCGTAAGAAGAAAAATCAATGTCAGTCGAGGGAGAAGTTTTCGGTTTGGACGGCAAACACAGGGCGACTGAAGAAGATGAAATGGTGACTTCTTTTTTCTTCACAAAATTTCCAAAATCGTTTGATGCTAGAGATATCTTTAAAGACGGAAGAAACCAACGAAGGGGGAACTAAAGACACTAATAGAGGAAGACAAAGAATGAATCCCTCGTTGGTTTGTAGACATTCACCCATGGTCGCCGGAACATATCAACAATCAAATACTTACTTGGATGAGGTGTTACGGTCTCCCACTTCATACGTGGAAACCGGAGTTTTTCAAATTCATTTCAGGTACGATTGTGGAGTTTATTTATTGTGATAAGGAGACGGGAACATTGTAGAAGCTGGATGTGACAAGATTCATGGTGAAAACCAAGTATAACATGAACCTCAATGAAGTATTCAACTTGGACATAAACAATAAAGTATACAATATTAAACTAGTTGTTAGATGTCAATCTTGATTTAAATTAATCATTTATAATTAGAATTTTTCAACTCTTTTGTGTTGATTTATTGAAATTACTACTTGAAAGTTTGCCATTCTTCAATTGTTTAAAAATACCTTTGGTACCTTTGATTTGTGTGTTATTGTGCAGAAAGTAGGCATTAAATCATCAAAGTGTGAGACACAAGGAAATTGAACAAGGATGCCAAAGGAAGAAAAGAATATCAGTAAGATCGCTGGGCGAACTTGCTAGCAAATGTTCAATTTGTGAACCACTGGAAAAGAACTAGCGAATGCTCCCAGACTTCAGGCAGTAGCAAAAGGCCTGTAAGTTCGTTGGGCGAACAAGCTAGCGAAGGTTCACTGTGGCAACGCGTCAACGAAGAGCTAGCAAAGAATCCCAGACTTGTGGCAGTAGATAAAGGGTCATAAGTTCGTTGTGCGAACTTGTAGGCGAATAATCATTCGCACGACGAACTTCAGAGTTGTCTTAGAGGCGGTTTAATTCTGCAGAGGCATATCAGGTGCCTAATTTGATGTTTACTAGCCGAATAATCTATTCGCAGTGCAAACATGACAGATCCTGAATGTACTATATAAGTACTTTTGATCATTTTTAGGGATCATAACCTACTTTTACACACCAAAACCTGATTTTCTGATATTTCTTCACTAAAGAGTGAGATTTTACACATAGAGGCTGAATTCGCATCCGAGTTCGATTCTTTGACATGGATGCTCATTCATCTTCTCCCGAAACTTGTAAAGCAAGCTACCATGGTTATGGGTAGCTAAGTCACTTTTGTGTCAAAATTAGTGGTAGATAATCCTAACTTTTGTATGTATTTCTCTTGATATTTTGTATGTGAACAAGTTGATGATGAATATATGGTGAAAAATCTTGTTTTTATGTAATATTTGTGTTGGATCATTATTGAGAGATATGTTTTAACTATTGACCTAGCTTTTTCATATTTCAATAAACAAAGTCTAGAGATAGTTTTGTGAGTTGATATTAACTAATATCAATTCTTTAATGTTATCATATTGATAGTTAGGTTGAGAGGTCATCTAAGGATCAATATGATAAAACTCACAATTTGTTTTAGAGATGAAACATCTTGAGAGGATATGTGATTATATTTATTGTTAATGAGTTCACATGCTTTGTTAAGAAAATACGTATGGAATGGATTATCGAGCCCTAATCTTGACATGTTTTTATCAATCGATTTAAAACCAAAACATTTACCATTGATTATAATTTTATGAAATCGTTGCATTACAAAACCAAAACAAACACCTTTTATGTTCTATGTTTAAAACAATTCCAACTGTAGAGCGGCGGTAATATCACACTATCCCTGCGAATACGATAAAAAAACCCACACTAATACTGTTTCAACAAAATAACGTCATTGTTGGGGATTGTTGTTTGATATTGCAAGCATTGCAATAGTTGATAAGTTTTAAACTTTGTTTACCTCAGTTCTTTTTTCTTGTGCTTCTTAATTTGTTTGGTTAAGTTTTGCATACTCTGTTTATGCGAGGAAAGTTACTTGCAGATCAACTTCTTTTCGATCCTGAGATTGAAAGAACTGCACGTAAGTTGAATAGAAAAACTAGACGGAGGAGGCAACTTACCAAGGAAATACGAGAAAGAGAAGAAAGTTCTAGTTCTACACCACTACCACCGCCAAACATGGCAGATCCACCACCACCACCACTGCCCCTGCTTCAACATCATGTATCGACAGTCCAATGCACACTGCTCAATTTGCGTGCAATGCCCATAACTGTAGGCATTCGGAGATGAAAACGGGAATTCTTGTGCTTCTATACCAAAATCCTTTTACTGTTATGGATCATGAGGATCCATTCACACATCTCACCAAATTCTATGAGATTGCGGGTGCAACGGGAGCGCTGGAAGCTGAAGAAGAACCATTGCTCAAGAGATTATTTCTGCATTCCTTAATCGGGAAGGCAAAGGAATGATATCTTGATCAATCCACTTTGGTGATGACGGGCTGGAATGTGTTGGAAGAAAAGTTCCTCGAACAATTTTTTCCACACAATCGATTCATGGAAGCAAAAACGAAAATTTAAGTGTTCGCTCAAGGAGGAAATGAATTTCTTAATGAAGCTTGGGAGAGGTTCAAATCCATGTTGCAAAAATGAAAAGGCCACGGTTTCTATGAATTAACACAAGTGCACATCTTTAGAAATGGGCTCTAATCTGTTCACAAAACTTTTTTAAATGCTACTACGGGTGGATTGTTAATGCAAAGAGTACGGAAGATGTGGTAGCCATCATTGATAAGATGGCATTAAATGATCACCAAGGAGATCACAACCATGGTACACCTCAACGAAAATCGGGAATGATAGAATTGGGAACAAATGATGCGATCCTTGCGCAAAACAAATTACTTTCACAACAAGTGGAGTTGTTGACGCAAAAAATGTCAAAGCTTCCACAACAAATTAAAGAAATGCAATATATTCCCAATAACAAATAAGTGGCGAGTTGTGAGCTTTATATAGGAGATCATCTTATCAGGTATTGTCCTCCGGTTGTGGAAGATGTAAATTATACGGGAAATCAAAACTAAGGGTATCAACCTTATCAAAACAACCAAGGTTACTAATAAAGAGGTAATTAATGTTATCAACAACTAGGTTGGAGACAAGATGTCGGAACATCAAACCGTCAAAATCCTTATCAACCTACACAACCTCAAGGTGGAAGCTCAAAGTTAGAAGAAACTCTTAATCAATTCATGCAAATGTCAATGGCCAACCAAAAGAGTAATGAGGCATCAATCAAAAATCTTGAAAACCAAGTTGGGAAACTTGCAAAATAATTAGCCGATCAACGACTGAAGCCATCCATTTCCGCTAATACTCAAAGCAATCTAAAAGATCATTGCAAAACCATTTTGACTAGAAATGGAAGAGAGGTGGGTGGAGGAGAAGAAAATGACAAGAAAAATGATAATGTGAAAAATGATGAGATTGTGGAGGAAGAAAAAAATGATGAGATTGTAGAGGAAGAAAAAAATGATGAGGTAGAAGTTGAAAAAAATGAAAAGGAGAAATTAGTTGAAAATGAGAACCATGAGAAAGAAGATGTAAAGAAAAAGAAAAAAAAATCAAGAAAGGGAAATAAAAGTTGAGTTCAATTCTAATTCAAAACTTGCCTTATCCTCATGCTCCAACCAAGAAAGACAATGCTAGGCATTATGCTCGGTTCATGGATATATTTTCGTCAATTACAAGTTAATATTCCATTTTCTGAAGCTCTTGAACAAATGACCAAATATGCAAAGTTCATGAAAGACATCCTTACTAAGAAGAGGAGATTTATGGACCAAGAAACAATCACGCTTGATACGAGTTATAACGCAATCATTCAAAGGACTTTACCGATCAAGGAAAGTGATCCGGGTCGGGTTACTTTGTTGGTTACCATAGGCGATGTTTATGTTGGTAAAGGTTTGATTGACTTAGGCTCAAGCATCAATTTGATTCTGTTATCTATTATTAAGAGGTTAGGAAGCATTGAGATGAAAGTAACAAGAATGACATTGCAATTCGCCGACAAGTCTACAACTCATCCTCATGGAGTAGCTAAAGATGTGTTAGTCAAGGTGGATAAATTCTTTTTTCCAATTGACTTTGTTTTTATTGACATGGAGGAAGACCATGATGCTTCATTGACTCTTGGGAGACCTTTTATGAAGACGGCTAGAATGATGATTGATATCGATGATGGTCTTATGAA